ACTGAAGTTCAGACAGTGCTGGTCTGTAATCCCAGTAGTTGGGAGGCCAAGGCAGGGACACACACCCCCACACACATACCCACCACCTCATAAACAAGCAAGTGAAAATAAAAAGAAAGGGCCGATGAGATGGCCCAGCAGGTAAAGGCCGAGCCTGAGGACAGGCGTTCTACCCCCAGGTCCCACGGAGAAAGAAAGAACTGACTCTTGCAAGTTGTCCTCTGACCTCCGCATACACAATAAATTTAATAAAAAATTAATTAATTAATTAATAAACAAAGAATTCAGGATCTAAGCAAGACACAAATGTCGCTTCCCTAAGGGAGCTGGCATGCCCAGCAGGGATGCTGAACTCCAACATTGTGAATTTTCTAGGACTCCCCAAGCCTGCTAAAAGCAATTTCGAAAACCAGAAGGAACTCCACCCTAAATCCAAGTGCCCAGCAGGGGAAGGGGCCTCTCAGCCAGCCGAGGAGCTGGCGTGCATGGCTACCTCTAGCCTAAATATCACACAGTGGCCAGGAGGGAGAGCAACCTTAGACTCTTAAAACCGCGGTCCGGTCCTTCCAAGCACTCCTAGGAGAGATGTGTGTTTTGAAAATGTTATAATCCTTTGCTAAATATCAAGGTCAGGGCTGGCAGTGCACTCTGCTCCTGGCACGGCCCTTACTTCCTCCGGGGGAGGCTGAACCAGGGGAAGGAGGATGGCCTTGAGCACCTCAGCCCCAGAACAGGGTAGGCTCTCCAGCCTCCCCGCCCAGACCCCCCAGGCCCACACCCTGTCAGTTTCCCTTCCTCAGAGCAGGAAGGTGAGGTGAGGTAATGTCTCTGGAACCCCGCAGTGGCAAGAAGATGAAAAGAATCCGAGAAATGCCGTGTTTAATTTAAAGCAGACCCAGCCTGCTGCCAGGCTGCAATTTCACTCAGAATAACCAGTTTGTTTTTCTTGGACATTCCAGGAACCAACTGGCCACCCCATGTCAAAGCTCAGCAGGAATGCTCACAGGGCCCCTTGCTGTGGGGCCACTCAGCTGCCAGGCCTCACCCATTGCTCTCTCCTCCCTCAGGCCAGGGACTCCTCCTCCCTCAGGCCAGGGACTCCTACTTTGGGATCAAGTCATGGTCACTCTGGGAGTCATTTGTGGGGCAGTCTTAGCCTGAGACCTCCTTACCTATGTACCTGGCTTTGTGTCCTGAGTTGACAATAACAACAGCATGGTCTATTTGTGGCATGTGTTCCGTATAACCTGGTCTTGGGCTAAGCTGTCTGTCAGATCCTTCCAGCATCCTAAGAAAGCAGGAAGATTTTTATTACTCTCTTTCTACAGTGGATGAGGTCAAGGCGAAGGGCAGTTCCATAACTTGTCCTGGTCACCCAGCTAGGGTTTGAGCTCCCAGACCTCCGTCTAAACTTGGCTGTCCATCAGCAAGCCCCTCCCTCCCATGGCCTGCAAAGCGTCACGGTCCTTGTCTTGAGTCACTGATTGTGTGGTATCAGGGTCCATCCGGGTATCTGAAGGGAGAAGTTTGGGTGATAGGCGCATGGCTGCCGATGAAAGGCGGGGGTCGTGGTCACAAGCTCCTCTTTGAAACCCACATCTTGGGTTGAGGGCTCCCGGTCCCTGTGGGTTTTGTTGCTTCCAGGGCTCTGTTGAACTCCTGTCTGTAATCACTATGGCTTAGAGAGAGGAGTAGCTGGGGTGTAGGGAAATAGTGCCAAGGAGATAGTCGGCCCTGTGTGCGGGGCCTGGCCTTGACCTTGGGCAGCACCCCCTTTTTCTACAGAGCTTCATTTCTCTGTAACACCATCTTCATCTTGTGGGAGAGAGGGAAGAAAGAATACACGTGGCTCTGGTGTCGTGGGCCTCATGTGGCTCTGGTGTCGTGGGCCTCATGTGGCTCTGGTGTCGTGGGCCTCATGTGGCTCTGGTGTTGTGGGCCTCATGTGGCTCTGGTGTCGTGGGCCTCATGTGGCCCTGACATCTTCTAGCTTTGTTCTGTATCTGTATTTCTTTCAACTAGACCCTGGCACAAGCAAATGTGGGAGAGGCTTAGGGAGCCAGGCGGGAGAGTGACCTCTGGAGAAGTTTCCAGAACTTAGAAGAAAAACGCATGGGTGGAGCCCTGTAGTGAGTACCAGGACTAGGACTAGGTGGTCCAAATCGATTTAGCCCAGAGGCCTAGACAGAGCCTGGCCTGGCACTAAGGGTGGCCCACTCAGCAGGAGGCTGCCCCACAGGAGCAGTTTCTGCCTTCCAGCTTTTGAAGGCAAACAGGCAGGGAAGGGGGCGCTTCCGGTGTCTGTCTCCCTGCATCTCTGCCGTCAGGACTCAGAAGAACCAAAAAGCTAGCTGTGGTACTCTACTCCTGGGGCCACCTGTGACTTAATGAGGAACAGGCAGGAGCCTGGGATGACAAGATCCAGTGTAGTAGAGCCTGTCACAAGCAGCAAGTGGGGCTCTGGCTCCCCGACCTGGGTCACCAAGAGGAGCCTCAGGCTAGGAAGGGGATAAGAATGAGGAGCTCTCAGAGAGAAACCGGCTCAGGGCACAATGGCTTTAGTGTGGGAGGACTCTGCTCCCAAGAGATGTTTCCATGGTACCCACAAATGTCAATGGTCACATTGTGTGGGAGGCCTTGGCTCCAGCCCCTCCCTTGGCGTGGAAAGACAGTGTGTGGGAGGGAGCCATGCTCTCTGGCCCCACAGATATCCCCTGGCTCCGTGCTGTGGGGTGGCCAGCAGGGGCTGGGAGCCTTCCCATCACCCCTCCTCCTCTGCAGACAAGTGTGGGGGTGTTCTTAGGACAAGGCTTCTTGAGGCTAGGGCTCATGCCTACAGTCATTCAATCCTCCTGTCCTGGGGGTGCTCGTCGCTGGAGGGGACAGAAAGCTGAGACTTGCCCTTTTTGTGTGTGCTTTCTCCAAAGCTGAGCCAGTAAATCAGCTCTCCCTCCGCTGACTCAGCCACAGGCACCGCACGCAGGCTTTGGTGCCAAGTTCGGAGAAATGGGAAGCCATCTGTACGTTACCAAAGCTCGGCCACATGAAACTCACTTTTCACCAAAGCAGTATGGTAGCTAGTTAACCTCGTTAACTCTTAGCCAGGCAGCTAACCGACAAAACTTTCTGGCAGTGACCTGGCTGAGGAAGGATGCTGAAGAGCTCTGGGCTGTGAGAAGAGGGCTTCCAGGCAGGCTCCAGGCCAGCTGAGGGACAGGAGGGGCCAGGAAAGCGAATGGTGCTTCAGAATGCCTGCTGTCCCAGGGTGACAATCTTATACAGGTGTCCAAAGTGGTTGGGCAGGAGCAGAGTCCTCTTCCTTCCCCCACCAACCCCCAGAAATTGTCCCCGGATGAGGAATGCCCCTCGTGGCTGGTCGCCGCCCGCGGCGGCCATGCTGCTAAGGAGCGTGCTGATTAAAAGAACCATAGCCATGGTTACCTTTTTAAAGCTTTATTGGGGGGGGGAGAGAGAGACAGAGACAGAGAGAGACACGGGGGGGGGGGAGGGGGGACCGATGGGAGGAAGGAGCAGAAAGGAGAGGGGACAGAGAGCCCACCCGCTTTTTAGGCTGGGACGCCGTCGCAAGCTGATGAGGTAATTAAGGACCAAATCCTTACATCCCAGACTTTCCCTTATTATAAAAAAAAAAAAAAAAAAGCAGGTAGATGGGACTAGGGGCATCGTTCCTCACAAAAACTGCTTCCAGCTGACTTTTGGACGTTGGTTGGCTCTGGGGGAAATGGAGAAGGGGAGTTTTCCGAGGTAGACAGGCGTTGTGGGATGCTGTCTGTCATCCATTTGCTCTGGAGACATGTATCCCTCTTGGCTGTGACTGGGAACTTTCTGTTTGACAAGATGCTTTTAACTGTTACAGTTTCTTATTTGATGATCTCTGGACTCCGGTTCTGTGGTGGTCCTGTACCATTAGCTGAACAGTGAGTTAGAACAGGGAACTGGGAAGAGAAAAGCTTCTGGTACATGAGATTTTTTTTTCTTTTTTTTTCTTTTCTTTTTTTTTTTTTTGGAATTAGGGACAAGGCAAAGATCAGGGCCCTGTCTGTATGCACGTGAGAAACACAGGCAGTGGATCTGGAGTGAAGCAATGAGCTCTTATTTTAGGTGGAAATCTTTTTTCATTAAGTAACTCTGAAAGTGCAATTAAATCAGGTGAGGTGGTAAGGCTGTCCTCTGTACCCGACAATAAAGGAGAGGTGACATCCCAAAACTCCCAGGACTGAGTCAGTGGCTCTGGTGTCCAGAAGAAAAGAAACAGATTGCTTCCCTGCTGCATTCTGGGTTCCCTGCCATGTCTGTAGCTAAGCCTAGGTCTGCTGGAGGTCTTAGCTTGATGTACCCATGCATCTTGGTGCCTGGGGGCAGTCAGCTGACTCTTTGTCTTTCTAGGCGGCACTTTTAACAAGGCCTGGCAGGGCATGCGCTAGCCTGTGGCCTTTTCCTCACTTAAAACAGGGACCCAACAGCTTTTGGGAGTCAGCGAGTGCCAGCACTTGGCAATTTTGTTTTCGGACTTTTATCTTTTCCCTGGCACACCTTAAATGCCACAGATGACTCTTTTGCCTGTGGGGTCAGGAGCCTTGCTCTCCAGATGCTTAAGTTTTAGTCGGGGAAGTCTGGGGAACAAGAGACGGATTTTACTCCATGTCCTGAATTTTTTTTTTTTCCTGATGATTGGTGGCTTAAGGACAGCTTTCGGAAGACTTGTCTGAGGCTATAAGCTGATATTTTGGCTTAAGAGCCATCCTGATTACTGTAAATTTATTATATATACAGCATGTATTCTGCAGGCCAGAAGAGGGCACCAGATCTCATTACAGGTGGTTGTGAGCCACCATGTGGTTGCTGGGAATTGAACTCAGGACCTCTGGAAGAGCAGTCAGTGCTCTTAACCTCTGAGCCATCTCTCCAGCCCCTCCAATAAAGCTCTAAAAAGGTAACCATGGCTATGATTCTTTTAATCAGCACGCTCCTCCGCCAGCATGGCCGCCGCCCAGGATGAAACTTCTGTGAGCAGTGAAGATTTTGACAAGAATGACTCCACGTGGATGTCAGCTGACCCCCACCTGGCCTCCAACCTGAGCCCCAACCAGGAGGAGAGGATGTGGAGCCCGCAGAACCTCCATAGCCAAGAGGACGATGACTCCTCTTCTGAGAGTGGCAGCGGCAATGGCTCGTCTACCCTGAACCCGTCCACTTCAAGCAGCACACAGGGCGATCCTGCCTTCCCTGAGATGAATGGTAACGGTGCTGCAGCCCCCATGGACTTCACTGCTGCCTCTGAGGATCAGCCGATCAACTTGTGTGATAAGCTGCCACTGGGCACAGCACTGGGCACACCATCCTACCCCTCCAATGGCTGCAGCACTGATGGGCTGTGGAGCCGCGTCAAGTATGGGGTAAAGAACACTCCTGAGTCTCCCCCCTATAGCTCTGGGAGCTATGATTCCACCAAGACTGAAGTCAGTGGCTGTCCTGAGGACCTGACCGTGGGCCGGGCCCCTGCAGCAGATGATGACGATGATGATCATGATGACCATGACAAGATGAATGACTCAGAGGGCATGGACCCTGAGCGGCTCAAGGCCTTCAATATGTTTGTGCGGCTGTTTGTGGATGAGAACCTGGACCGCATGGTGCCCATCTCCAAGCAGCCCAAGGAGAAGATCCAGGCCATCATTGAGTCATGTAGCCGGCAGTTTCCCGAGTTCCAGGAGTGGGCCCGCAAGCGCATCCGCACATACCTCAAGTCCTGTCGTCGTGTGAAGAAGAATGGCATGGAGATGACCAGACCCACTCCTCCCCACCTGACCTCAGCCATGGCAGAAAACATCCTAGCAGCTGCCTGTGAGAGCGAGACAAGAAAAGCAGCTAAAAGGATTCGCCTGGAGATCTACCAGTCCTCACAAGATGAACCCATAGCCCTGGATAAGCAGCACTCTCAGGACTCCACAGCCATCACCCAGACCTCAGCAGGCCAAGGGGCCTCTCCCTCAACACTCCGTAGCCATGACAGCAGCACTCTGCTGCCTGCCCCTGCCCAGAGCTGGCAGAAGCCCTGTTGCCTTTCCTCCCTCAGAGCAAGGAGGCCTCAGGGGAGCCAGGGCTGAGTAGCCACGAGGATAACCACAGAGAGCCACTCTCGATCCCAGAGCAGGTGCCCCTTCCCAAACTGGTTTATGCCAGGGACTGCTTGTGGGCAGCCTGACAGACCACCCCTCAAACAGGTGGGCAGGCAGGGCCAGTGCAGATTCCTACCTGTTCAGATTCAGGGCTGCAAGGCAGGGCTCCCCACCCTGCACACTTCCACCCTGGGCTTAAATGTGGTTTCTCATGTGGCCTCCAATGCCTACCCAGCCACACCACCTCTGCCTTCATGTGCCCGCTCACCAACCAGGCCTCTCTGGACTGGGCCAGGACACCTGAGCCCCCTTCGGACAGCACAAGCTCCAGTGCCCAGGGCCTCCCCACAGCTGGCTGACCATGTGCCCAGTTCCCCACCTGCTCAGTAGGACTCCTGGATGTTTGAATTTGTGTAAATATTTATTTTTGTGTGTGAATACTACAAAGTAATCAGATCTTTTGCAAAATGTTACCCCTGGCAATTTGTGAAAATATTAATGTAAAAGTTGGCAGAGACAATCGCCGCCCTAGAATTTCTGGTATCAATTGCTTACCATGTCATTTCTGCTCCCAGAGGCAGTACCCAAGCTCGACACAAGTGGTTTGCATTTTTGGAAGATGAAAGAAGAGACTAGGCAGGGAATCCTCCCTCCACCCCCATGGGACACATCTGTAAGAGCAAGCATAGTCTACATCTAAGGGATGTTTCCTAAGTGCAGGCAGTCTCGATCAGCCACCGGCAGCCTGCTCCCAGAGGACAGTGTGAGCATAGGTTCCATGTGTTTTTAAGAGTAACAGGACCAGTGCCAGTGCTGATGGCTTCCAGAGGGACTGCAGGGCAGTGGGATCTATCATGCTGACCTGGACTTCCTCCCAGGGAAGCTGTCCCCAAAGCCTCAGAGACAGCCATATCAGGAGCAAGATAGTGTGGGGACAGGATTCCATTACCTAGTTCAGTCAGGGGACTTGTTCTGTTTTGCTTTTGTTTTGAAAGATGCAGCTTCAAGCCTCCCCCTCCTGACTTGGGCCTGCCTTTTCCCAGGGGAGCTCCTCAAAGCCCTGTCCTACAGCCACTTCGGGCTGATGGAAGGCTCAGGGTACAAAGTCATCATTGGTGAACTCAAGTTCAATGGAAATGCCAGTGTAGGATACACCAGTCTCAGAGTCCTTGCAGGGCAGATGCCTGCAGGTGTCAAGAAGTGGTGGATGACCTGTTAGACCAGTGGTAGTGTACACGACCCATCTGAAAGGGCTTCCTCTCGCCACTCAACAGAAGGACCGTTTATTCCCAAGGATGGTGTTGGGGAGGGGCAGGCAGGGCTAGGAGGGTCTTAGAGGACTTGGAACAGATGGAACCCCTCTGTCCCTCCCTGTTCTCAAGGGCCACATACGACTCCACAGGTGGTTATAGGATTAACTACCAGTTCATTCTCAAAATGCTGCTTTGAACTCAGAGGGTTGATACTTTTAATTTGTAATTTTTTGTAAAACTTTTTACAAGACAGTGAAGTATTTCACCAGAATATAAAAAAAAAAAAAATTAAAATAACAAAACGGGATCAGACTACAATCTTGGGCGTCCCCAAAGAGTGGAGAGAGATCCATGAATCAGCTCAACTTCGCCATCCTCTTCGTCAAGGGATGCGAAGGGCTGCAGCTGCACTGCAGTTGGTCCACCTGGTAGACCAAGACAGCATTTACTTTCTCGTCAGAAAGGAAAATGTGCCATTGCCAGTACAGCCCGAGGAAAACCCCTGGGGTGTCCGTCGCAAAGAATATAGCTCAGACTACAGCCGTGAGAACAGCAGACTTACTGTGGTGAAGAATCATGGTGGTAGCGGTGTGGGGGTCCAGCAGAGGCAGCGAGGGATGTGCGTGTGCTCGCGGTCTGGCGGTCTCGCTGGATGGGGGAAGAGGCGGCAGTAGTTACAGCAGTCCTCGGTGCTCGGTGATGTATCCAAGTCACGGCACCAATGTTGGTTATGCCGCGGCGCTGCCCCTTGTGGCTGGTTGCCGCTCGCGGCGGCCATGCTGGCGGAGGAGCATGCTGATTAAAAGAATCATAGCCATGGTTACATTTTTAGAGCTTTATTGGGGGGGGGAGAGAGAGACAGAGACAGAGAGAGACACGGGGGGAGGGAGAGAGGGGGGCCGATGGGAGGAAGGAGTGGAAAGGAGAGGGAACAGAGAGCCCACCCGCTTTTTAGGCCGGGACGCCATCGAAGGCTGATGATGTAATTAAGGACCAAATCCTTACAATGGGCACCCTGGCCTAGAACAACATTGGGTGAATGCTATCAGGGGAACTGTGGTGTGGGGGTGAACTCAGGAGGGAAGGCTGGGAAGGAAGACAGAAAGAGGGGCCGAGGGCTGGGAAGCTGGCTCAGCAGTTGAAGGGCTTGCTGCTCAAGCCTCGTGACTAGATCCCCAGAAATCCTCGTAGCTGCCAGTGGGAGGGGTGGCCCACCTCTGAAGGCAGAGACATAGATCCGGACCACCAGAGCAGGCTGGCTAGGAACACTAGCCATATGGATGAAATTCTAGGTTTAACTGAGAAACCTTGCCTCAGTGAGACAAAGTGAAAGAGGGATCAAGGGTGATCCCTAACATCATCAACCTTTGGGTCTCCACACAGAGGCCCATACATGTTCACATGTACCCATACACATGAAAAAAATCACACACACACACACACACACACACACACACACACACACACACACAGGAAAATGGAGGGAGGGAGAAAAAGAAAGGGGGGGATAGTCAGGAAGGAGAAACTTTGGGAAAGACCTAATGGGAAAACACAGGAGTCCACTTAGGGCATGCAGGGGAGTGGCCCACCCTGGGCTTTCCAAAACAAAAGTCCCTGCAGTTCTGACTTGGCAGCTGGTACCATGTTTTCATGGTATGAAGATATCTCTGTGGTCACCTCTGCGAAGGTATCCCTGCAGATGTGGGAAGGGCTGGTGCTGGCGGCTCTTTCAGCTAGCTCCATACATCACTGTATCTCCCCATCCAAGGAAACATTTGAGACTTCCGAGAATGTCTGGGAAATTGGCTAAGTCCTTCCTTTCCCTGTACTTCCTGATGAGAAGTGCATCGGACACCTGGTTCCTGATCCCTGATTACCAATCAAAAGGGTTCCTCCCAGGATGTAGCTGACTCTCTGCCCACTTTGCAGAAACAAAGACGTGAGATCAGCGGTGCTAACTATATATTTATATCAGGTATCCCAACTGTGACCTTGCCAGGTTCCGCCCGACTATTGAACAGTCTTGAATGGAGAAATGAAGATTAAGAAATAATATATATGAAAATATAGAGACATAGACGTAAAAGAAAAAGACAGAGACACAGAATAGCATCAGGAGGGCTCTGGGTCAATACCACAGTCGCCCTGAGTTTATTTCTCAGGGCCTTTTTATACCCAAAGCAGGGAGGTAAAAGACCTCCCCATCTCAAGGACACCATGGTTCAAGGTACAAACAAGAGTAAAACACCTCAGTTCTCAAGACACCTGGTAACTACGCCTTTGGCCAAACATCCTGCTATCCAGTCTTAAGGAGCAAAGACAAGCTCTCTGACCTTGAGGCAAGATGGAATCAAGCCACAAACTGGAGTCCTTTGTGGGCTCCCACATGACCTTGAGTGAGTCACCCAACCTCTCTGAACTCTGGTTTTTTATAATATGAGGGACGGGGTGAAGGTGAGGGTTAGGAGGGTTTGGTGGGACTTTCTGTCTATCCAGAGAGTCCCTGGTAGTGTTTGAGTCATTACCTTCCTGGGAGAAATTATGAAGCAGATGGCCTTTTGTCCCAAGAGTCACTGGGACTCTACTTGAAGATTACTGGGGCTTTTCCCCCCTAGTGACTAACTTCAGACCTGGTAGAATGAGAGAGCCTAAGCCCAGAAGCTTTACACACACTGTCTGGATCTTCCCCTGAATCCTACGAAGCAGGGAGCGTTAGCCCATTTTACAGACACAGAGACTGAGGCTCAGAGGTCACACTTGATCAGATACCTCCCCATTCATTTGACTTTTCCCCTTGGAGGCCCTGAATGCTGGGCCAGCAGCTCTCCAGAACAGACCTGCGTAGTCTAAGAGGAGACACTGTTGACCCAACATCCAGTGGAAGCTTTGGCATTCAGTGGGGCTAGTAGAAGATGAGAGCCATGCCCAAATGGGTCAGCCATCTTTTCTGAGCTCCTGTGGCAGAGTAGCTCCCTCGGAACCCCGAAACGGAGATGAGAGAGTTGGAAGTTCACTACAGTGTGCTCAAGAGTGGCCGCGGCGGTTGGGAGAGGACAGGGATGAAGGAAAGGCTAGAAGTGGGTAAGGGAGAAACTGGGCTTCAGTGGACTCAGGGGAAAGTCTCATCCAAAGCCGGGGAGGAGCTCCAAGCAGGCCCGAACTGACCAGCCGTTGGGTATAGGCTGCCCTGGGGAAAGGGCTGAGATGCTCCCAGAGGGCAGGCGTCTGGGGATGAGCTGCAGTTCCAGGAGAGGCTCTGGCGATGTCATGCACAGTCCAAGGATACCAACATCTCTGTCAAGTACAGCTTCCCTGAGTCTCAGAGGACACGTCTATTCGACTGGGAGAGAATGGGGCACCCCTAACTCACGTCTCAAGCCAGGCTCTCTAGGTCAGAGGCCATGAATGGGCCCTGGGACTGCCAGTGTTGGGGTAAAACATGCAAGAGTCTCACAGCTAAATCTTGTGATTTTGTGATTGTGGATTACACTTGTTTAAAATAAGCTTGTGTAACTTTTGTTCTCAGGGAGAAGTTTTACATTTAAACTGTAAAAATGTACGGTCTTACGAGACTTTTGCTTGCCCATTTTGCCGGCTGTGTGCTGTGAGTGAGGCAGAAAATAATCAGCCATGTGGGAAAGGCTCGCCCCACTCCAGTCACACTGACTTCTAAAGATTTATGACGAACCCTCTGACGAGGCTTGCTCTGGGTGATGGCCAGAGAAGCTTCTCTCTGCAGAGCGACAGGTCAAGTGACCAGTTAAAGACTCCCAACTGGTCAGAGGACTGAGGGTGAGTGTTGAGTGCTTTGTCCTCAGTGGGTCATCGGTGTCATCCTCTTCAAGGCTCTGGGGACATCAAGGAAGAGGGGCTTGGAAGACAGAAGTGCTGTGAAGCCTTCTAGATGCGACATGGCCAATATAACCGTGAACACACTAGAGCTGTGGCAATCTGCACCAGGTGTGCATCAGAACACACACACACACACACACACACACACACACACACACACACACACACACACACGCCCCTATCTAACGACGCACCAGGAACAACCCACACTGGAGCATATGCACATATGTTCATCAGCATACATAGATCACACACACTTACCTTGATATTCTCAGGGGAATGGGTTCAGAAACCCCAAGAGCATCAGTGTCTGGAGGCTGCTCTGCTCTTATGTACAAATGCCACCATATCTGCACAGAGCTTGCACATGGCTCTGGATGACTTCTAATGTCTAACACAGCGTAAGTGCCAGGAACATAATGGTTAGATTGTGTTGTTGAGGAAGTAATGGCATGCAAAAGATGACTCTACATGTGCTTGGTACAGATGAAAATTTCTTCCAAATATTTTAAATCTACAGATAGTCGAATCTTCAGATGGTTTGAAAACTATGGCTATGAAGGACTGACTGTATATGTGCATATTTTTTGTATTTCAAAATATTTAGAAATGACTTTTACAATTTTCTTTTTCAAAATGGTAGGATACATACCACATGCTCTTTCTTAGCAATCCATAAGCACCACTCAAGGACATTATAAAAGAGGAAATGTTACTTTCCATTCATTTTGCAAACATAATGAAATTTCTCAACATACTTTAAATATATAGTTAACCAAGTTGACATCATGTTCCACTTTGGAGGCATTTAATTAAAAATTTATTCACTTTGATTATACAGTTTTCTTCTTATATTTTGAAACAAATTATTCCCCAAGAACTCAAATGTATTCTGTGAGAACATAGTGGAAACCATGACCATATCTGAGAAATAGAATTATATTGGTGCTCACAACCTGTGAATGGGGTCTGGGCATCCATCACTAAGCTTGTGTGGTGAGTCAGTCCTGGTGTGGGTTAGCTCATTCAAAATGCTTACCACAAAAGTAAAAATGTTTAATGCTTATCTAAAAACTTCCAAACAAGCTGCTCATAAAAATTAAAGAAAACACTGGTCATGTGCTCTAATAAATTAAAAACAGCATGTTAGGAGCTAGGGAGAGATTTGCTGGGTAAACAACATCCTAAACGAGCAGGGGGACCTGAATTCCAATATCCAGCACCCATGTGAAAGCTGGGAGTCACAACTCCCATCCAAACCCTCAGTGCTGGGAGTTAATGTGATGATATA